GCCGTGGTGCGGCGGCGGGTGGCACGGGTGGCACAGGTGGCACGCGGCGGCTGACGCACAAAGAGGCCACGGGTAGAAAAAGAAAAGCATCAGCCCACGATGCTATCGCCACAGGAGCGGGGCGAACCAGGACAGGGCGGGGGGGACACAGGGACGCGTGGCAGGTGGCACTGGGTGGCCCAGGATGGGGGACGAGCCCACCCGGCAGGGCTGCGGCGTCGGCAGCGAAGCGGCGCGGGCGGCGGTGGCACGGGCAGGGACGCTGGGCCGAGGGGGCGGTGGGGAGCCCCTCACCCTTGCCTCAGTCCTTCAGGGTGGCCTCGGAGACGCCCTGGGCCAGCAACTCGGCCAGGACGTTGTCCAGGTAGTTGGGATCGGGGTAGCCATGGCCCGTCAGGTTGGAGCCGAACTCGGTCTTGTGGTGGATCTCGTTCCACACCACCGTGTCCGACTCCCCCGTAGTGTTGGAGGTGCCGATGGTGAAGATGAGCCGCCGGTCCCAGGCCACGATCAGCAGCTTCAGCACCTGCGGCGGGCGGGCACGGCCATCGCTCGCCCACCTGGCACCCCAAGCCCTCCTCCCGCCTGGCACAGCACGGCCCCCAGCACCCCAGGGTGCAGGATTCAGCCTCAGCACAGTGCCCGCATGGCGCCACCCTTCCCTGTGGCACACCCCAGCCCCACCCTGGCACTGCTGCATCCTCCCCATCCCTTCCCATCCCATCCCTTCCCATTCTATCCCATCCCATCCCACCCTGGTGCCATCGGGGATGCTCACCTTCCTGCCCTTCTCGTTGTCGGGCAGGTAGCAGTGCCGCGGGAAGCCGCGTGCCGTGAACTTCTTGCCGGGATTGGGGTGCTCCGGGCCCTGGGTGGGAGGGCAACGGGGCGAGCAGGTGGCACAGGGTGGGGGGCACCCAGCCCGGCGGGGGTCCCGGGGGCGGCGGGCGCAGGGACCTCACCTGGATGCCGGTGGGGATGTCGTAGACGATCCGGATGGTTTTGGAGTCGGTGTAACCCGGGAGGGAGTGGGGGGAAACTCCATCTTCCCGGGGCCCGGGG